GGTTAACCTCCCGAGGTTTTACGTACTCCTTCGTGGCGAGATACTCCACCAACTCTCCTCTCACTATCATGTTTTCTACCTGTCGCTGAAGGGACCTGCAGTCATTGGTGGTATGCCCATAGTCTCTATGGTAGGCACAATGTTTGCTTTTGTCCCTCTGCTCCAAGGGTTATTTCATGGGTTGAGGAGTTGCGAACCTCGTCTTATTCTCTTGGAATAGGCGCGCTAAGGTAGTACGGAGAGGGGTAAGCCTGTCCTCTATCCTTCGCCTCTTCTCAGGCGCTTGGGTGACTTGTGTGGCGGTATGAGGAACCTTCTGCATCCTTGTGCTTGCAGCTTTCTCTCGAGACTTGTTTTCCACTGTGACGAGGGTAGCGTGCTGTGCACGGTGGGCTACGTTTTCCTCCAACCGAATGTAGATTTGTGCCCTAGCGTTCAAAGTTTGCATATCCGGGGGGGAATATTTGATCAAAGATGTGTGAAACTTGGTTCCCTGGATCATTGCCAACTTAAATGTTTCGATTGCCGTGACAGGGTAGTAATCTGCTATCTCCGAGGCTTCCATGTTAAACCTGGATAAGAAATCTTGCAAAGTTTCTCCCTTCCTTTGCCTTATGGTGAAAAGGCTGGCGATACTTTTCTTCTGCTTCTTATTTCCGCAATACTGGGCTAAGAACATAGTGCACAAGGTCTCATAATCAGGGATAGACTTGTGTGGCCTATTCCTGAACCATTCTAACGCTGCTTCGGTTAAACTAGTAGGAAAAACTTTACACATCCACGGATCGTTATGATCGTCCAGTGCCATCTTTTGCGCATAATGATCGAGATGCCGAGAGGGGTCTCCTGCCCCATCGAACTGGGTGAAGTATGGCATAGTGAACTTCTTTGGTCTCTCCACAAGGTACACATCGTCAGTAAAGGGGGTCTTGACCAAGGAGTTCTTGTGCTCTCTAGCCATCTCGGCTGGTGTCTGAACTCTTAATAGCTTCTTTTCGTCGAAGGCATCTTGTACGCGTGCGCTATCTGGAACGCCATTGGACCATACCGTAAGCCTATGGCTGGACTCGGCCTGTTCGTCCTGTGTGCGACGTGGGAGATTATCTGAAGCAACCGCCTCGGACCTCGTCCCTTGCTTTTACTGAACCTCATTAGGTCGAGCCCCTTTGGGTGGTGTCTCGTTGGCCGGAGGCTCGTGAACTGGAGGTAAATTCTGGGTCGGGGGTGGTGCTGCGGCATCGCCTGGTGGTGGTTGTGGCGTTAGCCTGGCCATTGCCGTGTGCAGCGTATGAGTCTGCGGCTGAAGCGCAGCTATCTGGGCGACACTCGTATCGTTTGCTTGCCGGAGTGTCTCAAATTGGTGCAAGAACTCCTCTTGCATCTTTTGCGTCAATTCTATCTGTTGATTCATTGTTGACTCTCCGTTTGACATTCCAGATACGACTAAGGATTTGATTTGAAGAACAAGTGGGAGTATATTTTTATACGATTCCCACAGACGGCGCCAAAGTGTAGGTGCAAAATTCTGCTCAACCAATAATGATTGAGAAAAATCAAACAACTCACTCAAAAACAATAAGAATAAATAAGAACAGTGTATAGAGAAGCGTAGCATTGTTTGATCCCTTTATTGGAGGTCTAAGCCTTTATTTATATACAAAAGATTGTAAAATTATGGTAGGACTCGCGTTACTTGCCCTCCAATTCTTTCTATATAAACATTCTTTACTAATAGAGTTCTTTCCATTGTCTAATTTTCTATACATAGAACTTGCCTTGTACAGAACCTCCTATCTCAGAATTTTCCTTCTACGGTAAATCCTTCAACTGGTAGGACTTGTGCATTCTTGAATAACTGGGCTGAACATATTTTGATCCGGCTGGGCTTGAGTAACGGACCGGATGTTAAATATTAACAAGTTGGGCTGATGACCTCTTGATTCGGCCTTGGTGGAGGTTGGAGGACAAATAACAATGGTCTTGGGTTATAAATACCCTCAATTTGGGCTTGAGCATGATGGGCCTTATATGTCCTTGGAATGTAGATATGTGTAGTGATGACGTGTGCGCTTTTTATTGGAGGGAATTTTTTTCCCTCCACAGTAGTGAAATTACTTCTTAATTTTGAGGGGTTTACCGTTAATAAGTTGAAATTTTTTGGGAACTCTGACCCAAAAATTCAAACGTGGTTTTGATCCCCAGTCTCAATCCTAATTTTTGATGAATGAGATTGTAAACATTTAAAAGAGGAATTGGCATGGTGAAATAAGCACTGTATGTGTGAAGAGAGAGATATCTGGGTTACGTTAGAGGGGGAGAGAGAAAGACAGAGAACCATGAAAGAGAGGTCTGTAATGAAGGCAAGGGATTTTTTTGTCTTTTAACTTTTTTATTTTAAATATTAATGGAAATGGGTGAGAATGGAATGGTCATTTCATATCTTAAGAAGAGATACGACCATTTCAGTTTTTTTTATGAAAGAAACAAGTTGGGATTTCCATTACACTTTTATAATAACACACCAAATAATAGAAAGAGAATTATAAAGTAGGATGATCATTCGATTTCTTTCTCTTCCAGCCTACCATACTAGTCCAAGAGAAAGGAAATTAGGAAGTGGAATTCCATTCTTGCCTACCAAATTAACCGTAAGTGTGTGTCATGGCCAAGCCGAACAAAAGTAGCTGTGTGTATCTCACATGCGTATTGAACTACAATATATTAGTTATTTCATGCATGCGAGGACTCTTGTAAATTATATATGATCAATCATATGCAAAGTTTCAGTGCAATTATTGTGAAGATTGGTCCACCCACTTCTTTCTTTTATTTTTATTTTATTTTATTTTTTTTTGGAAAAAGAAAGATGATAGAAAAAGTGACCATGAAGTGCAAGAGTAGTGGTCTTGTCATCAGATAGAAAGAGATGAAAAAAGAACAAGAAAGTGTGAATTGGGTGTATACTAATGGAGGTAATGATATCTCCCTCGGCCCCATTTTAAGGAGCTGAGTAATTACACAGTAGATAGCCCTGTGAATTAGAATCTATTAAAGGATATAAAGAATAAATTAATGCATCTCTCTCATTGAATCTTGTGAAGCATGATCAATGATAGATTCCATTTAGTTCAGTACAACTATAGTGGGGTGGTCCACCCCAGGTATTTCAAGGAAAAAAAAAGAAAAAAAAAAAAAGAAAAGAAAAAGATGAATAGCATGCACTGGTGCTAAGAAAAAAATAAATAAAAATGAGATATATCAATTACATTCCTAGATTTAAAGTGTCATTTTTTTTATATTTTTGGCTGTTATAAAATATTTATTTTCTTTCAAAATAAGTGTTTACCTTTTTTATTTTTATTTGTCTCAAAATAAATATTTCATTTAAAAAGTCAAAAAGTATTTTGGCCTTGGTGCACTAACCCCCCTGGTTTCAAAACATTGCACAATGTCCCTTCTCCTTTGTATTTGTGACGACAAACCACCTTAGTGTTGCAACCTAATATGCTTACCCAAAATTAATGAATGGAGTTATTTGACTTTTTAAAAGGATGGGTACCTTGAAAAATAATATAAGACCTAATCTTCAATCGAAGAATGGAGAAAACTGCACAAGCACGTGTACACACCCTAGTCAAATGTTATGTTTCAAGAAGTGGGGGACCGTGACATCTCACATTGCTTAATGGGAGAGATTGTTGACACTTACTTTTGTGGGTTACTCTCAACTATTTAAACTATTTTAAAAATTATGAATACAAAAAATGTGCAAAACAAACAATATCTCATGAAAAATAGATTGTTAACAAAAATATAGGGTTAGGCATAAAACCTTCCACATCTGATGGAAGGAAGAGATTGTTAGCAGCATTTATTTGCGTGAATATGCCCTACTTTGCGTGAATATGCCTTGCATTGCGTTTCAAAGCACAGAATGTATATATATATTATATATATCACTCTCAATTATATCTCTTTTGTCCATCATATCTTTTCTCTTATCACGTGGATTCTCTCACACTCTCCAAACAGAGGACGACTTTAATTATGGATATAACTATATAATCTGATGGTTTCTACAAGAATTGACATTGAGTTGTATATATTTTTAAAATTGTTTATTGATATGTCTAACGAACAATTCTTTTTAATATTAATATCCTCTTAATATATACATGGATCGGATTTAATACACTGATTCACATTAGTGCATTGAACTGATCTTCATAAATGGATTGATATCAATTATTTCTTTTACCCTATCATCTTCTAATTCCGTCTCTCCACCATAAAAGATAGCCTGATCCCAATTAGCGAATCTCGAAGCCGGAATGGTTTTCTTCGACCCCGGAATCAAGGTTAATTTATATATTTACAAAGGAAAAGAACAAGAACATGTAAAACCCGATCTCAAACAAGGTCGCAGCTTTTGTCAATGAGGAAGTCATTAAAAAATTGTTGTTAGTCTTTTAAATTACTTTAGTTTTTTAATTTATAAGAATAATACTTAGATCCTCATTAATAAAGATTTACACCATAATAATAGTTAATGTAAGTCAATAATAAATGAGCATATCATCTTAATTACCAAATTAAATATGATAAGGTAGATACTCACTTATCAAATTAGAGATAATGATTTGATTACCATTATGATTTAGTAATTAAAATAGAATGTGTCAATATGTTATTATTCCACACTAACCGTTAGTAGTATAATGTAAATCTTCACTAATGAAAACATAAGTATTACTCAATCTATAAAAAGACTAAAGTTTGAGAATATGAAGGTAAATTTTGTAACTTGAGGTTGTATTTAATGGCAAACTAACTGGATTTCTTTGCAACTTTTCTTTAGCATAGGGGACACGGGCAAATTTTAGAACGTACAAAGGGGGCAACTTGCAAAAATTCTATAGTGCAGGGGACTTTTTTTGCAATTAACCCTATAATTCTACTATAAAAGACGAGTGCTGGAACGTAAATAATTGTATAATTAAAAGCTTAATTCCAGGAGTCTACGAAAGTGAAGAGAGGAGGGTTGCCTTTTCCTTAATCATGTAAGATATTATATATCATTTTTGTTAAGGCATGTTAATTTGCTTAATTTTGAGATTGAAGTGGGAGTTGTAATTAAGCATTTTTCTTTCTGGGTTCACTAAATTAATTTTCTGAAACTCCTGAAATTCAAAGTTGTTTCAAATAAATCCTGTCAATTAAACTCTTATATAAATTGTACTAATAGTTATGTGTGTGAATAAATATACATATAATTATGGATGCAGGGAAACGGAGAAAAAATCAGAAATAGCAGCTGAAAGGGATGATAGAATTAACAATATATCCCTATATAGGGCCTTGGTGAAGGGTGATTTGGAAATTGTGAAAGAATTACTGGATAAACATCCGGATGCAATATACAATAAGATTTCCACAATAGGGGAAATACCTATTCATATTGCTGTTTCGCACGGGCACCAGGAGGTGGTGACGGAGCTACTTATCAGGATGATGACTATGAATCGTACGAGTAGTTTGGATGATGAAAAGCTAAGCATAAGAGATGAAAATGGTGACACACCACTTCATATTGCTGCCAGGGGAAAAGCGAACACCACAATAGCGAATGCATTAGTTCACCACTTACCCACGCTCCTACCATTGGGAGATGCATATGGACAGCTGGCAATCACCCTCGCCGCAATTTTCGGCAACTGGGAAATGTTGAAGTTTTTAAGAAATCACGGCTTGGGAATTGCCATGCATCGTCATTCCGACAGTAAGTAGATAAGCCTTCAATTAGTGTTTTAGGCTTAAATGATCCATAGAGTTTTCTAATTAAATGTTTTGTTTGACTTTCAGGTCATGATCCGAAATGGATTATTTTCACCGAATTTATTAAGAGCGAGAATTTTGGTATGTATATACTTGAATGAAATATTGTATATGTTAGCTGCGAGGCATACAAAATCTCATTATATATATATATATATATATATAATTCATAATTTTGATACATGCATCCATAGGTTTTGCACGGCAGATCTGGTCCAGCGGGGAATCGGAATTGATGATTTTTGAAAAAGACTTGTATATAATGGCAGAGATGGTCTCTGTATTCTCAGATGCAAATCAGCTCACAAATTTTGAAAGATGGATGTCCAACTGTTAATGTATTATGCTCATCTACTTCTATCTTTATTTATTAGATTGCTTTCAATGTTTAAATAAATTTTATTTTTAGACTTATTTTTCATGATTTAGAGTTTTCTTTTATTATAAATACAATTGAAGCTTCAAAATTGTTTATTTTGATCCAAATACTTCTAAATTATAATAGAGCAACATTACCATTGTGTCAGGCCTATCCACGTAATTATAAAAATATATATAAATTGTTTAAATATTTACAATTTAAATTGTTTAAATATTTACAATAAAAGTTCTTTACAATAATTTTTTTCATTTATATTTAAATATTAAAAAAAAAACTCTAAGAAATATTATATATATTTAGAAATTTATATTTCCATTCCTATGTCTTTCACTTGCTTGCATTTTTGTCGTTTAAAATTACTCTCACCGCTGCACGAAATATGAGTAAAATCATACTTGGTCTTTGAACCTACACGAAATTTTAACACTTCCAACTAGTAACAAGTTGTTAATGTATTTACCAAAAAAAAAAAAAAAAGTTGTTAATGTAAATTGGATGTGGCCCCACTCTAATGTCATGGTCGAGATCATATCGATGTGGGGTCGCCCATTGTAGAGGTCTTTATTATGTGTGCATATATTATATAATACACACGCATTAGTAGTGCTCTACTCATGGTGAGGGATTGGCGACGTACCTTTCATAATTAATATTTTTTATTCGTGAGTGAAATTTGGATACCCTAGAGTGTGTGGTCTAATTTATATCTCTTCTTCTTCTTTAATGTGAAAAATAGAAGGTTAAAGTCTCCCCAAAACTATGGTAAGAATTTTTGTCAAAAAAATAAGTATATTTCCTCAAAAGTATTGTAAGAATTTTTTGTCCAGAAAATAAATATATTAAAATTTGGATTCAAATTCAACGATTAAAGAAGCAATTTTACCACAAAAAACTTAATTTAATTCCTCTGGTTTACTCTGCATACCTACATGATTTAATTACTCTGGTTTACTCTGCAAACCTACATGATTTAATTATACTGTAACTTTTAAATTCTATTAAATGATATTTTATCTTTCTTTTTCTTTCTGGAAGGTATGCATGTGCTATACTCTACCCTTAAAAAGGATATGAATGCTATGGATGCAATGGATGTGTTTACAAATCCCAAATCTCCTTCCAAATCCAAACGCTTCATCAAAGGTATAATTTATTCAATGGGTGTCTCTTAATCTCTTTGTCCAATATTTCATTGAAACTATTTGATTGGGTATGCATGTACTTGTGTCCTTTCTATATTGATTGAAAATTTTATATTGACTATGAATAAATTATCAAATTTAATCAGTTCCCAATAATGTGATATTTTATTTTTTATAAATTCAATTCAATAAAGTTAAATTGGTAATGTTATAAAAAATTGTCCATTGACTTTTCAATTGTAACAATTATTTCGGGACAACTAAAAATAGAAAAATGGGCATTTTTTGTGAGACGGAGGGAGTAATAACTAAGAACAAATTGCAAAAATACTCTCCCAACTATTATATTTTTTATAATAACCTTTCTGAAATATCATTTAACAAAAAACACTTCCAATTTTACTGAAACTTGTAAATTACACATTTGAGTTAATTGACCTAAGTCGCATAATCTTTTTAAAGAGTTGCTCTCATGCTCCATTCGGGAATTGGCACTCTGAGAGCAAATTATTTCATAATTTGCAAATTCAATTTTTACGATTTGTGAATCCTTAAATTATGAATAACTACATGTGATATTTATTATTAAAACTAATTACCAAAATATACCTAATACTAAATTAAAAAGGTTACAAATGTGCATAACTACGAATAAACCTACAATACAAAAAAAATAAAAATAAATAAATAATAAAAAATATATATATATTAACAAATCGGTTTGATATTTTATTTATTTATTTATTTTTTTTCAGTTAAAGTGTAAGCTTAATCCGTTTGATATTGTTGTTATCTTAATATTAATCAATTTTGTTTCCTTATTTAAGTCTAAAAATCTAAATGTGTGTGTATGGTATGGTGTGTACATATATATTTGCAAACAAATTATACAAATACTTTTTATTTTACTATAACTTAGTTAAGACGTTTATTATTTCTTAACTCTTCAAAGTATTCATTTAATGTACAAATATTTAAACAATGTCTTTAAGAATATAGATTGAGGTCGCATTTCTGTAAAAATAAAAATGTGCTATAATTTTTGTATTTTAGTTGTTACTAATTTTATGCATCTCCTAATATAGAGAAAATAAGATTACTTGTAACTCAAATACATATCTTAGTGGCCATGAAATTATATTTTTAGTATTTCACAAATTATATAACAGCCTTTTACTATATGTACAAATATTGAAAATATTGTGCACACATAATAGTATAAAGTATATAAGTTCTTTGACCAAATTTTAAATTTTCTATTTTTTCACTTTCGCTCTATGTGCTCTATGTGACTTAATAGTTGACTTTTTAAAAATAACGAAAAAACTCATAATAGTATGTGTTAAAGTGAGGCCAACGCTTGCCTCCTACCCCACGAGAAGGAAGTTCATTAGACGAGAAGGAAGTTCATTAGATAGGTGATGGACCGAATGAAAGGTTAACATGTGTCTTAAAAAGTAAATTAATATTAAAAAAATTAAAATAAAGATAGTACCCTTTTCTAAATGGTACTCAAATCATTTAAAACCCATCTGAAGAAATCCTCTCTCTCAACCTCCAATAAAACCACCACCACTCCGTCTTTCTCTCTCTCCACTGGACCCTCACTTCACCACCACCGCTCCTACCCTCTTTCTGTCCTTCTCTCTCCCCACCCTAATCAGTTGTATTGGTATTTTGGGTGTTGCAGAGATTTATGTGTACGTGAGGAAGAGAGGAGAGATGATGGTGATGGTTGAAGTGAAACACTTACTTGAGCTGAACGGATAAACCATCAGTGATATTTCAACAAATTATTGGAAGTCTAAAACTATAGAAAATCAATATCTGTAAAGACCGTAATAAGAATTATATATTGAAATATGCTAGATTTTGTTTAACCGTGGAGAGACATAAAACCCTGTTAAAAACAGGTTGAATTCAATACTAATATTTTTTTAATAATATTTTAAATTTGAATCAGGTGTTATTAATTACTTGGTCCCTGTTACCTCTAAGAACTTTCTTCTTATTTGTAATTAAAAGTCATTAAAAATACAAATCGTTTAAGTTAATTTGTTTTTCATAACAACCTCTTTTTCAATATATATATATCTATATTATATCAGAAGTTTTTTTTTTTTTTTAAATATACAGGGGTATTAAAGTCATTTCATATGACTATTAACATCCGTCAGGGGATTAACGGAATGGCCTTATTTGCTACTTTGTGACAATTTGAAATTTTATTTGTTTCAGTAGGGGCAATACCTACAGGATTTTAATGGTTGAGAGGCTTTTCCTGCAACATCTATTAGAAATAAAAGAAAGTAAAAAATATTATATTGTATTGCACTAATAATATAAGAGTACATAGTGTTTATATGAGAGAGAGAACATGTGTAGAAAGTAAGTAAACCTTACATATAGTAATGAAAATAGGTGGAGACAATTAACACTAACCCTCATACACAATAGACAATATAATCTAACATTGTCTAACCATAATTACTATACATATTGATGAAATGGCTGATGGCACCAAGTATGGGAATACATATGCGCATTCACTTGATGGAAATAACCACTAAGATTCTTTAGGACTCTACCCTTAATTATGACTTTCCTAGCTTATTGGCAGAGCTGCACAGTATTTGAGCTATTTATTATTATTTTTTTCACCTAATTGCACCCCTCTAATTAGTTTTCATGCATTGTCCTTGTAAATTAAAATCCCGTGTCATTATATGGAATGACCTGTGATTTATGTGTGCCGGTGTCTTAAACATGTGGTAACTTGAGGTGAGGGCAATATGAAGAGGATGCCTGCATGATTCAAAACCATTGTATATGATATATGTTTTAGGAATTAATTATCAATTAGATATCTGCTGTTGAGACAATTCAGTTTTTTTTTTTTTTTTTTTTTTTTTTTTTTTTTTTTTTTTTTTTTTTTTTTTTCTTGATGTATAACAGTGCGCCGTCTTCTGAAAGGATCGATATTAAGTGTTCTTAAAGCAATAGGTACGCAAAGTGCTACTATTCATAAGGTTACTGCATGTTTTCCCAATACTTTTTCTTTTTTTATTTTTTTACTTCGATAAGAATTGGTTCAGGTATTGAAAAAATATTGAGTATGAGGCTAAAAAACAACCAAGCCCGTGAGCTACTCAGCAAAATGTGTTCCCCAATGTGGACTTTTGATTCGAAACATGTTCAAGTATACCTTGAGGCAATAAAAAGAGCCATCAAATGTGGGAATGCAGAGTTTGTTGAGGAGGTCCTGAGGTCGAATCCTGCTTTGATATGGGGGAATAAGGAGAATAAGGAAAGAGGAAGCATATTTCACATTGCAGTTGCTTTCCGCCAGGAGAAAATATGGAACCTCATATATGGATTAAATACCGAACATAGAAACAAAATCATTGGAACTCTGGTAGAAACAAACAACTTGCTACATATAGCTGCATGCCCAATGGTAATGTCTGAAACAATAGGAGCTCCAGATGAAGCTTCAAAACAGCCGATGCAAAGAGAACAACAGTTCTGGAAGGCATTCAGTGAGGCTCCAGGTACAGCTATGAAAGTGCAGAGAGAACTACAATGGTATAAGGTGGTAATCTATTCTTAACTTTGAATATATATTATCGAAATGTTAATTATTCAACTTAATTGTGATTTGGATAGGGTGTGAATTGGTCTAGAAGTAATTGGTATTAAACGACCCTGTCATTGTATATTAGTGATTAAGATTAAGATCAAAGTGGCGAATTAATGTTCACACATATGCATGAGCACACAACCAAATGTACAAGTCTTATTTGGTAGAGACTTGTATATAAATGCTTATAATGCTTTTTAAACCTTAAATATTTTTTTAAATGGACGAAGTTTTGCTCTATATATATATATATATATATATAGTATAGAAGCAATATGTTTGTACGTAATTCACTTCGGATATGATCCAACGGTTTACTCACTAGACTTTGGAGTTTGGTAAGCCCAAAGTTTGGGGTTCGCGTCCTGCTGGGTGTTCTTTATGGCTATCCTCCGCTGCCCCTGCAGTGACTTACCCGGCCCGGGTGGGGAGGTGTCATTCCGGGTCCTCGGAGATTAGTTGGGTTGTTGAGGGATCCTAAAAGTTCGTACCATCCCGAATACCCCAGGTTAACTAAAATATATATATATATATATATATATATATATATATATATATATATGTATGTTTGTACGTAGGACCAAAAACATCCCAATTTTTATGATTTAAACTCAACTCTTCTTTGGTAAAACCTTCTCAAACAACTTTTAATTGCGATAGTTAGATGTAATCTGCTATTATAGTGCGTGATGGCTTGGATTGTTTCCTGCCTTGCAATTGTAAGGGAAAATGGAGGGATGAATTATTTGGTTGTAGCAATCTACTCCCATCGATTTGGATTGAGTACTGTAGTTTCTTTCGACCATAGAATTGCCCCCAAATCAATGTGCTATGTCTTTGAGCCCTTCTATAGACTCATATAAATAGTGGAATTAAACAAGAATTTAGCTAGATTGGAAGTGGTCAGAACTTTCATTATTAATTTAATTACTTCTTTCTCATTAATCGTGATATATAGGAAGTGGAGAGGATGGTACCATCTTCATACAGAATTCTTGCAAACAATAAAGGAGAAACTCCTCCAGCTTTGTTCTCGAAGTGGCACTCTGAATTAGTCAAAGACGGAGAAAAATGGATGAGAGATACAGCAACATCTTGTACAATTGTGGCCACTCTCATTGTTACTGTTGTATTTGCTGCAGCTTTAACATTACCGGGTGGTAATGCTGATGATGATCCAGAGCAACCAGAGCACCCAAGGTCATTGCATTCAGGGGATCCCAAGTTCCTATGGCGAACCTCCTTTATGGCTTTTGTTATATCAGATGCGTTATCTCTATTCTCTTCAGTAACTTCAGTGTTAATGTTCTTGAGCATACTCACTTCACGCTTTGAGGAGAAAGACTTCCTTGAGGCATTACCCAAGAGATTGATAATTGGTCTTGCTACCCTTTTCTTGTCTATTGCAGCCATGATGGTAACTTTTGTTGCCACTCTTGTTATGGTACTTCGCCGACGAATAGAATGGGCTGCTGCTCCTGTTGCTTTGCTTGCTAGTGTCCCAGTAACCTTATTTGCTTTATTGCAATTTCCCCTGTTTCTTGACATGGTCTCATCTACCTATGGACGTGGTATCTTCAATCGGAAAACAAAATGTTCCTTCTTCAACAACCCAAATAACTATTTTCCTCAAAAAAAGAAGTGATTCCTTTGATGTATAATTAATATGCAATGACTGTGGTGGTATGATGTATGTCTGTTATTTGTACTTGTAATTTTACGATTGATGCTTAAAGCAGAATAAACAGTTTGTCTGTTATGTGTGTTTATATTTCTAAAACATGAAATTGGTATTCTTATCAAGGTGAATGCATCTCTCGTAAAAAAAGAAAGAAGATGTATGGTTGGACCGGTTGGTATTAAGTACATATAAATACAATATCATATTTTCTCTGATAGAGCTTCAAAATTGTTTATTTTGAACCGATAACCTCTAAATCATAATGAAGCAATATTACCATTGTGTCAGGCATACCACATAATTATAAAAATATATATAAAAATTGTTATATAGTTTTCTTTACAATAATTTTTTTCATTTATATTTAAATATAAGAGAAACTCTAAGAAATATTATATATTTAGAAAATTATATTTCCATCCCTCTTTCTTTCACTTGCTTGCATTTTTGTTGTTTAAAATTACTCTCACGCTACTTGAAATATGAGTAAAATCATACTTGGTCTTGAACCTACACGAAATTTTAACACTTCCAACTTTCTTTTTCGAGAATTGCTGTAAATAGTAATAAGTTGTTAACGTAAATTGGATGTGGCCCCCACTCCAATGTTATGGTCGAGATCATACCAATGTGCGGTCGCCCATTATAGAGTTCTCTATTATGTGTATATTTATTATATATGAGAAATGATAGAACTTTGGACTTATTTTGTCCATTTATTCTCCGAATTGAACGCGGTTAGGCCACGTCATATCCAAAAAAACACACTAGCTTCCTACCAAAAAAAAAAAAAAAAAAAAAAAGAGAAAGGCTCTAAAGAAACCATTAACACAGAGCTTTGTTGCCTTTTTCTTTTTATGTTGAATAGAGAATGGTGAAAAGGTCAGGAGTTGAGTAGGTGAAGAGGGCCCAAGAATAGAAAGCGGTGGAAGCTTTCTTTTGATACCATTTCCGAATGTGTAATACCTTTCAATCTCTCAAGAATGTATTCGTAGTATAGAAAGAAAAACTAGAGGTTGTGCCACTACGATCGGAGCAGAGAAGCCATGAACACAGAGAGGATGTCTACGACAGATCCATGATGGAGGAGTCGATGGTGGCGGCAATCGGCAATGTGAGAGTGCGTAGACAGAGCTGGGTGATCGGAGAACCAGACATCGATGACGGCGTGGTGATCAGAGATGGTGACAAGAGTGTATTGTTCAGCATGAGAAAGAAACAGGGAGAACGGCGTGAGGGAGCAGGGTGTTGTATGGAAGTCCGCCACTAATTCCCACTAGAGATGGTGGTTACTTGGGCTTCGGTCTGTCCACGAGGAACGAGAAGAAATGAGATAGCACCAGACCAGAGCAACGAAGGAAGAAGAAGAGGAAGAGAGAAGAAATCCACTGGAGAGAGAAATCAAATTAACTTTTGCTTCCCAATTTTGACCTTTCACGCTGGAAAAGAAAAAGCAAAAAATGAAAGCAGCAGTTTTGTGACGTGGGATTCGGAGGATAAGTCTGCAAAATAGGTCGGAAGATCTATCATTTCTCTTCTAATATTGTAATTGACAAATTTCATAGAACAAAACTCACTTTGTAATTTAATGAATATATGATTAGTGAGTGAGACAGAAATAAAATACGTAGATGATTTGAGGGTAAAGATAAAGATGCATGCTTGAAGGAAACTACATCAAAAGGGTAATAAGGTCCAAGATTTTCTACAAAGGGCAGGTCAGTCAAGGAACTACTACAAAGGGCAAACTAAAGTCCAAGAACTTCGTACAAGGACAAAATCTTCCAAAGTTCCTTATCAAAAAAAAAAAAAAAATCGTCCAAAGTTCTACCTTAAAGGGCAAAACAGCCCAAGAACAATTGCAAGGGCAAAATCGCCTAAAGTTCTACTACAAGATAGTCCAAAAACCATTGCAAGGGAAAAATAAACCAGAGTTCTACAACAAGATAGTCCAAAAACCATTGCAAGGGGAAAATAACGGCGTCTCAAGAAATTAATATACCTTTTTGGTCATTTCACAAAATAATATATATATATTTTTATATATATTTTATAAAATGCCTCAATAAGGGCATTTTTGTTCAATTCTATCTTAAATTTGTAAGTAGGACCTATTTACACAAATGTCATAGTTTAGGGGTGTTTTTTGCACGTATGATGTAATATGCATTGTAAGCATACTATAAGGGTGTGTTATGCCATTTACCAAATATTTAACTTATAACTTTTGTCATCGGAAAAAGGAGAAATGAAAATGAGCGCGTAAAGGACATAGATGAAGCCTTCAATTTTTTTCTCAATTGTCTCATTTTACTATGAAAAAGGTTTTTTTTTTTTTTTTTTTGGCAAGAAACTCACACAAGTAATTTGCTCTTTGGAGACTCAAACCTTCACCATCCACTTTGGGATGTGGAGAAGATACACGGGCCCTTGGTTATTCAAAATCTTTGTTCATGTTAGAGAATGGACTATCTAAATCTTTCCCCAACCTTCTCTGTCTCCTCCTTTCCTTTTTTATTTTTATTTTATTTTTTAAAATTTTTATTTAGGATATAGAGGTTATACCTACTGTTGGACTAGAAGCTCTTTGGTTATTATCTATCTCTTTTGACAACATAAGATTGTTATCTCAACATCTTTGTTCTTTGTCAAATATATATCTTTCTCTTTTTATATTTTTTCTGTAGTCCAATTATTTTGTTATCCAAGCTACTTTCTTTCTTTCTTATTTTCCAAATTAATGTTTGTTCCACAATATTTTTCTCTAATGTAATGCCTTGAGTTTGCTTGATCACAATGGTGATTTTCTTCCCTCTCAAACATTGAATAACCTCTTTGTCATTTTACATAAAGCATTCAAGAGTAGAAACCTATAACCTCGATCAATAGAGGTGTGAAAAACATAGTAGCTAGCAATATTTAAACTACTAAATCTTTTAATAATAATAAAATAAAAAACTAAGCATAACCACCTAAAATACAATTGTTAAAGCTTTCAGGTTTCTTCAAAGATCTGTGCTTCAAACAGCATAATGAAATGCAATATAAGGTTGTGATAAGTGTTTCAATTTTAATTATATATGACCTGCGTGTTATAGGTGTTTGGCCTGAAAAACGCTGGTGTCAGTTCCAATGGAACCGGATGGGCGTGCCAGGAACTGCAGTAGTTCCGAAGAAAGATCCAAACAATATTCCAGAAGAAAGACTGCGAGACCAGACAATTATGAAGAGGTCTGCAATGAACACCAAATGACTTCGGGATGGTTAACTGGCTAGAAGGAACTGTAAAATTATCTAATGAAAAGTAAAGAGTAGGACTAAGATTAATCATATTGAAAATGCATTGTAGTGAAAAGTAAGATAGTATTGAAATGCGTGTTTGATTTGGCGTTGAGTAGGCCTATTACGTTATAACATAATGACCTATTTATAGAATGAGAATATAATCAATCAACGTAGCGGTTGTGAGCAGTTCCATTGATGCTTCTAAATGCTTCCAAGTGTCCCAAACATGTAGTCGTGCTTTGATTTTATAGAACTTCCACGTTCCAAACGTAGAATCGTGTCTTGATTTTTCCCGGAAACTTCCACGTTCCAAACGTAGAATCAATCATGCAATCGTGCCCTTTGATGCCATTAAAGCTCCCACGTTGCAAACATGCAATCGTGCCCTTTGATACCGTTATTTCAAAAACAAATTGCATGATTTCTTTGTCTAAACAATGGCCATTACTCCTAATGGTGGTAGTAGTGGCCCACGTTAAAAGCTCTTCTGTTATATCGTGGCTTTTGAATAAATCAACTTCCATGTTTTTAGGCACTAGAATTCCACGTCTAAAAATTCGACAATTAATACGCTCCTTTGACCAAGTCATCTTGTTCCTACGTGGCTTCTCTAGTGATAGACTTCCATATTAATTCAACTATCAAATAAATCCATACCCATGCCCCGCGTGTCCTATTTCAATTGGAGAAGTTGTTTTAAGCAAAAACCATCAACCACTTCTAATTGAAATTCCTTGAGTTTAGTCTTGATCCGAACTCCTTTCACATGTCACAAATTGGCTCAGCCCAAAATTCCTTCCACGTGTCTACTTTTCCATTGGGAGAAAATATGGGTGTAAACAATAGGAAGATCGATTCAGCAACAAAGGGATTGTCTAATTTATAGAAAACATTGTTAAAGAATTAGAGAAACAAAATTTTAAACATTCTTTTTGTCTCTAAAGAGTGATGCATAAACCAAACAAAAGATCACATTTATTAGCAGTAATAAAACACGATTACATTTTTAGGAAAGTGAATTAACAATGGTAAAACAATACCTTCCTGCATATTTATTTCTCAGTCAAACTTAATTACTTAAATTTTGCATGACACTCAACGTCCTCCATGGGCATCTATTGGTATTATTGCGTGGATCTTCAGACTATCATCTCCAACTGTAGTGCTAGTGCTACCCCAATCCACCGATTTACCTAGAAGGTGATCGGTTTCCTCTGGATTCTCTTCGAGTTCCTTAAGCTTTTTTGCCACTTCATTCATTGGAGGCCTTTCGTCCCCTTTCAAACTTAAGCAACACTGCGCAAGTTTAGCAACTTCACTTACTTGCTTAGTATTAACATCGTTCACAGTAATTCGATCATCCAGAAATGAGCGCTTCTCATTCATGCATGAAATGAAATATGTGGATAAGAGTTTCTCTTTCTCTGGCACTTTCTCATCAAAAGAAATTGCCATTCTGCCAGTAAGTAGCTCCGCAAGGACCACTCCAAAACTATAAACATCACTTTTATCGGTCAATTGACTTGTATAAAAATATTCAGGGTCTAAGTAGCCAAGAGTACCTTGAACCACTGTAGATAACAGTGGTTTATCCAATGACACTAATCTCGAAGCTCCAAAGTCAGATACTTTTGTAATTTTATTTTTGTCTAAGAGTATATTAGTAGACTTAACATCTCTATGAATGACTTGAATGCGAGCTTCGAAGTGCAAATGCGAAAGTGCTAGGGCAGTTTCTTTGGCAATCCTTAACCGATCTTCCCATGGAATGGACTTGTGGCCTACGTCATGTATATGTTGGGATAGAGTTCCATTGGTAATAAATTCATAAACCAACAATGGGAATTCAGCCTCTAAACAACAACCCAACAATTTTACCACATTCGTTTGATCGATTTGGGAGAGCACAATCACCTCATTAACGAACTGGTCAACTTGACTTTTATCAACTACTAAAGTCTTCTTGATAGCAACTGTGGTTTTATTTTGGGGTAAAACTCCTTTGTAGACTGTACCAAACCCTCCTTGACCAACAATTAGATTTTCATCGAAGTGATTGGTTGCCTTCTGGATCTCTTCTATGGTAAATGTTTTGACAGCTGCCTTAACTGAAGGGTCTTCGTCTTGCTTTGATAGTAATATCAAACCACCATTACGTTTGAAAAATTCTTCTTTCAGTTTGATCAGCCTTCTTTTTCTGATTACGCAGTATAATGAAGAACATCCCACCATTAATACCAGAATGCCCATGCCAATACCTACATTCAAATTCACCATATTTGTACCCAAAACGAATTTAAGGAAAAATAAATAAATAAATAAGATAAAATTAAATTAAACAGAAGAACTAAAGAAGGGGGGCTCAAAGATGGAAAGCATGCCTTATATTTCAATTAATTTTTGATCAATTATTTGAACAACTAAAACTGCTCTCCAATTTTGTAAGTAGTATGTGTACTCTGTATTTGGATTATGATCAAATTATGCCCAACTTTGAACATGAAATTTTGGCGAAAATGAGAGAAAAATTAAAAATTGTAAAAGGTCTTCTTTGAATTTTGAATTCTATTTAGATTTGTGGAATGCTGGAGAAGAAATTTACTCAAACAAACCAACGAGGTATATTATGCTTGAATCATAGTTAGTCTTAATCATATTTTAAGTGTCACTCCTTCCAATTGCTTGTAAAACATTTGTTTATGAGAACACTATATGACCGGTTTGTACCATCAAAAGTTGAAATGGGTTTGTGCAGTTTCAACTAACCCGTTTTGGCCCCTAAGACTCATATTTGATTAAAAATGGCCTAACTAAAAATACTCACTGCTATGCTCTGGTGGCTCATGATTGAGGCCTTCTTTGGCCCAAACCACTTCAAAAAGGTAAATTTTGAATTTTTATTATCTTCAAATGACCTTAATTGTCTCATTTCGGAATTTTTTTTTTTTTTTTTTTTTTTTTTTTGCTTCTTCTAAGGAATCTGATATTCCAGGTAATTATGGAATGGCGTAAAATTTTATAATTCATGGGAGTAAGAAACCCCACCCCCCCCACCCAAACTATAAGCTACACACTTGATTCAGAAAAAAAGTTTTGAGTTCATCTGCCTTTAGAATTGCAGTTAAAAAATATTAAATAAGACTACAAAGTTTACCACTTAGATTTGAATCTTTTTTAATAGAGCAATTTTAAATTTGCATTTAGCATTAAGCGCAAATACTAGTACTTTACCTACAACAATCTTAATTACTCGTTGTGGATCAGGAATGCAGCCACTTCCATCTTTTCTGCCGTCTCCATGATATCCCTTGGGACAAGAACACGTATAATTGGGCGCCGTATTTACACAAATTTTTTCACATTGATTGAGACTTGGATTCGCACATTCATCGATATCTACAAGACAATAGAAGAGAAGTCAATCATTAATTAAAAGCAATCAACATATCCAGCTGAGTAATTTGTTGAGTAATGACACGACTTTAATTCAGACTGATTTGATTTAAGTAAAGGAGGATGTCAGTAGCATCACTGATGTCGACTCCCACTAATAGCAAAACAGTCCAAGTTGGCCAACCCTCTGACTCTAAAACATTTTCCTACATATCTAATTACATGATATATTGTGATAGATATATACCTTCGCAACCTTGAGGGAGGTATGGGTTTCCCTTGTAACCCTCGGAGCAATTACAACGGTACCCTGGACCAAAATCAACATCATAACAGTTGCTATTTTTATCTTTACATGCATATAGAGAGAGATCTCTTGCAGCAACACTACAATTCACATCTCCAATTGACCAATCAAGCACCACTGGGAGCTTTTGTACTTTCTGTAAATCCCTGAGAAGGTTGGAGGAGAAGTTGAACTTATCCTGTTCAACGACAAAGGCATAACTACAGGGGCTGAAATTCCATACACGTCTAGGTGTGAAGTGGCTGTCTAAACGCACCCTATACGTGTCAACCCCCGTTGGGATGGATGTCTGGCAACAACCGATGCCAGAGCAAGACCCATTGGTGACATAGTCTATGTTGTCACATATGGTCGAGCACCCACTCGAATAATTATAGTTATCTTTTTCACCTACAATGCTCGCCCGAGTGTCACAACCAATTGCTGTGAGCATGTTTCTGGTACTAGAAATCTTGAATTTGGACAACCAGATAGAGGGTACATTACGGTAGATCCGTATACCCGACTCGTTATAGCAATCGTGGGCTATAAACTGCAAGATGTGCAGTTGACCATCGACTGAAATGTTGGTGACATCAATATCACTTGTTCCCAAAAAAAGTTTGGGAGGAATGAAAGCGGTGTTACAAGTAACGAGAAATGCTTTGGAATAGTAGCAGCCCAGCCTTGTGCCAAATGGATATGGGATGCTTACGTTGCCGCAGCTGTCTTGGCAGCCCGGCTCGGGTTGAGCAGATGTTGGTGCTGCCATGGCTGCTATCAGAGTAACCTGGAGAAGCATTGTTAGGAAGTCCATGGGAGATTCTTTTGTTTTTCAGATTAGAAAAGATGCTTGTCTTGAAAATTTCCAATGGTGATTGCTTATCTTATAGAAAATCTTGGAATGAGGAAAAATTCAGTGCAAGGCGATCCACAACAAACTTCCTTAAAATTCAGTCATGATTAGAATTAGTGAATCATTATGACGTTTAGCTTTTCCCCCACTTTAAAATTATGAATAAATTATATTCACTTGTCCTAAAGTTTGGATAAATATCAAACACATGGATTATACTTAATTACTCTAACCTCTCCCAATTGCCTTTTCCGGTGAGGGAATATGAGTTTTAGTGTAAAACGTCATTTATGCACTTACTATTACAATATACTATTATATTACACATTTTTGTTAATATGAAACTCACCTGGCCCACATGCCATGTCTGCACAATCTCTCTCTGCCAACATCAATCACAAGTTCACAACTCATCTCTGATGACTGAATCATTCACAACCCTCAAATCGGACCTCAGCACTCGTCGACGGTATCCTCTCCACACTCCACCGCCACAACTCCAACGACAAATTGTATCATCTCCGCCGTCCATCGCCATAACTCTCACAACCCATATGCTGCAAACTCTCATCATCTGTCGTCAGTGGTGTTATGTTTGGATATGATTGAATCGAACCGGAATAGGAGAGAGAAGTCCACGCGAGCACGGTCGGTTCGAGAGAACAGAGGTTCGAATGGCAACTGGTAGTGCTTTCACTGTGTTGGATTTTTTCTATAATTTCTGAATTTATTATTAGCATCAAACAATTGATGGTAGATTAACACACCCATGAATTGGTTAGTCACCTCGTTTTTTCCTCCCTAATTTCAAATCGAAAGAAGAAAACTTGTATTGATAAGAAAACATTACTAGCAAATGAAAAAAACTTGTAATCTCCAAAATCATCGCCAATAGAAACCTTATAATTTAAATTTATTTTATAAAATGGTTCAATAAGGATAATTTAATCAACTTAAAATTTAAAATTGTCAAATGGACCTATTTGCACCAAATTAAAACTTTTAAGATGTTTTTTGCACGTGAAGAGCGTCCTCTAATAATGTTTATATATTTTATAAAATGGTTCGGTAATTTAGTTACTTTAGAGTTCGTCTTCCAATAATGTTTATATATTTTATAAAATGATTCATTAAAGATAATTTAGTTAATTTAGAGTATAAATTTGTCATATGAATTTATTTGTACCAAATTTAAACTTTAGGGTGTTTTTTGTACACGAAAGGTGTAATATGTACTGTAAATACACACGCGTACATGTACACACGCCCAAATAACCCCAGCCTCTCTTGTTTCCTCCAAATCTTTATCTCTTTTTTTGTGCCTGGTTAATGGCGGGTGGTGAGATCAAGAAGGAGACCCATGGTCGGTGCACTAATGGTGGTCACAGTGAAGAAAAAAAAAGATTGTTATCGCGGTAAAGATTGACCCACAGAGGATTTTTATGGGTGGTAGTTACAGTTAAGAAGAAAAAGGACAATAAAAAAGTTTGTGTTTTTGTACGAGTTGTAAATGAATTGTAAAAAAATAAGGATTTTATACGCCCAAATAACCCTAGCCTCTCTTGTTTCCTCCAAATCTTTATTTCTTCTTCTGTGTTTGGTTAATGGCAGGTGGTGAGATCAAGAAGGAGACCCATGGTTGGTGCACTGATCATGGTGGTCACAGTGAAGAATAAAAAGATTGTTATCGCCGTCAAAATTGACCCACAGAGGATTTCTACGGGTGGTAGTTACAGTTAAAAAGAAAAAGGACAATAAGAAAGTTTGTGTTTTTGTACAAGTTGTAAACGAATTGTAAAAAAATAAGGATTTTTATATGTGGTGTGTGTATATGTTGGACTTGTGGTTAAGAATTATCAGGAATTGTCTAGAGTTGTGTGGAAGATTATAGATATGTGTAAATTATCGTAGAAGTGTGTGGAAGGTTCTAGAATTCTCCAGAGTTGTGTGGAGTATTATGGAGAGTTCTAAAATATTGTAGATACTTGGAGAAGGAGGTACAAAAGAGGTGCAGAATCCTATAAATATATGGTTGATCAAAGCACGGATAAAACAACATAAGATATGCAACAACTTTTTGTGAAGAGGTTACTCTCATTGTATTTGAGAGGTTACTTTGTGTGGTGTGAGAGAATTCTTGTTTATAATTTATTTATTTCCTTGTAAGTGATTGGGTACAAAAGGGTTGAGGGTTTGTGTGTGACATCTCTTTGTAATCTTCTATATTGTACAATTCTACAATCTCTAGTGGAAAGCTTGCTCTCATTACTCGCATATCTTGTTTTTTCTTGTCATCATTATTTTATATATGTGTGTCGTGATTGGGGTAGTTTCACAACAATTGGTATCAGAGCCATAGGCTTACACAAGTTGTTTGATAAAAAATTCTTGATCTAGATTTTTGTCATAACACTGGTGTTGTTTGTCTTGGGCACTTGCTACACAATATAAGGTGGATAGATTTGATGGCAAAGGTAGCTTCATTCTTTGACAAAGGAGAGTGAAGGACATCTTTACTAGGAAAGGATGAAAAATTGGAAAGATGGCAGATCACAATGGATCTAACAACAGCAAGTTTAGATCACCGAGAAGAAATGGCAAGTAATGTCATATGCTTAAGACAAAACCTTTGGAAATGCATGTTCTCACAATTTTCAAAGGTAACACTCTGACTCGACATGATTGGATATTAGATTTGGGTTCTACAAATCATATTTGCTCCGTAAAAGAATATTTTGATTCGTTTCAAGGACTTGAGAATATTTCTTTGACTATGCCCAATGGTGATACTTGTATCGTAAAAGGTATGGGAACAATGAAAATCAAGATGTTTGATGGAGTGGAACACACCTTGGAAGACGTTGCTTACGTACCACAGTTGCGGTGTAATTTAATATCCTTGAGCCGGTTAGATTCCAAAGACTACAAGTGCTCCATTGCAGGGGGAGTCATGGAAGTTACAAAGGGTTGCATGGTGTTGATGTGAGGAAAACAGAATAAAGGATTATATCATTTGGTGAGGGGTACCAATGGTACTCAAACTTCAATTGCTAATTGGACGCAGGCACGTGAAAGCAAGATCTTGCGGCAAGTCTCATTGGCAGACGCAATAGAGACGAAGGAGCCGTGTTTCCAAACAAATGAGGGTGAGAATGAAATTCCTGCTGTGAAGGGGTCTTATCAAGGTTCTCTTTCAGAGTCACTTAATTGTGTTGACTTGGTACAGCTGCATGTATGCATTGGCCGTGAAATTAATCAAGGTGGAGTTTGTTATTACTTGGTTTGGGTTATGTGTAGCTGGTATACAGAAGGCCAATTGACTACTTGTGGTTTTACAAGTAGGAGTCTCATGCATTTGAAGACTTGTGAAATTCTAGCCAAAGGGGAGATTTATTGGACTTGTGGCTAAGAATTATCCGAAATTGTCTAGAGTTGTGTGGAAGATTCTAGATATGTGTAGAAAGGTGTAGAATATTGTAGAAGTGAGTGGAAGGTTCTAGAATTCTCCAAAGTTGTGTGGAGTATTATGGAGAGTTCTAGAATGTTGTAGATACTTGGAGAATGAGGTACAAAGGAGGTGTAGAATCCTATAAATATATAGTTGATCAAAGCAAGGATAAAACAACATAAGATATGCAACAACTCTTTGTGAAGAGGTTACTGTCATTATATTTGAGAGGTCACTTTGTGTGGTGTGAGAGAATTCTTGTTTGGAATTTATTTATTTTCCTTGTGAGTGATTGGGTACAAAAGGGTCAAGGGTTTGTGTGTGACATCTCTTTGTAATCCTCTGTATTGTATAATTCCACAATCTCTAGTGGCAAGCTTGCTCTCATTACGCGCATATCTTGTTTTTCCTTGTCATCATTATTTTACATTTGTGTGTCGTGATTGGGGTAGTTTCACAACAGTGTGTGTGTGTGTGTATATATATATATATATATATATGTCTTTTAATATAAGAACGGCAAAATGAGCTTTTTTGAAAATTAGGTTGACATTGTCGAAAACAATGGTTAAGGGTGTTATTGAGGACATGCATCAAATGTTAGGGGAAGTCAAAGTAATAAAGGCTTGTCGGTCTATTTAGATGATATTTGCCCAAATCTCAATGGAGGCGAGTGTAATTTACTATAAAATTATTTAGGATAAATTATAGTGACACCTGTTAAGGTTTAAGCTAGATAAACATATACTCTCTCTGTCTCAAAACACTTGTCTATCTTTTCATTTTGAAATGTCCCAAAAAAAACATGTCCCATTCGAAAATTGGATGTACTATTTTTTATAACATTTCTAAACTATCATTTTAACTAAATAAATGCACTAATTACGGAGCACATGCATTTTGTCTTTGGACAATACACTGGTGAGGATGTACACCATCTTGACCGCTGATGTGAACCAATAACATATAGACACATCCTCTTTAATTACCAAATCAGAAATGGTGGGGTACATACTTACTTACCAAATTAAAGATGCTAAATTAAGTACCATATCTGATTTGGTAATTAAAATAAGACATGTTTGACATATTCATTTGCTATTGATCCATATCAGCGGTCAAGACGGTGTACATCCTCACTGGTGTTTAATCGATAATTTGGCCGAAGTAAAAACTTTAATTTTATTTATTTATTTTTCTCTCTATCAAGATGTGGATTTTCATCCAAAAATGGACCTAGTCTTTTATGTTGTTCTCGTTGCAAAATATTGGATTTCTATCCATACCATTTCTATAATTTGAATTGAAATAGATTAGAATTCTCAACTCTCTGCAACGTCTAGATGACAAAATATTTTCAGGAACAAACAAATCATAATGATTTTTGTCTATATTTCCGGTTATCTTTTGATATTTTAGAATGAATTCATCAAAATTCTTCTTATCAAGATATTACTAGTGAGAATGTACACTGTCCTGACCGCTGATGTGAACCAATAGCAAATGACCATGTCAAACATGTCTTATTTTAATTACCAAATCAAATATGGTAATTAATTTACCATCTTTAATTTGGTAA